CCCAAAACCCCAAAACCCCAAAACCCCAAAACCCCAAAACCCCTATTAGTAAGTTTATAATTGAAATTAAGAATAAGCATGAACTCCCATATGGAACAAGCACATGGTGTTCCTCTCAAAACAAGCTATTCTGAAGCAAGAGCGGTGAAGAATAAGTATCGAAGCAGAAAAGATCGCAAAACTTCCTCAGCAAGCAAGAGAAATCAGGCTATTAGTAGTTTTAAGAATGAAGGAGCAGGGCTCTTAAAAGCTCATGATTCTGATTCAGTGTCTAAGGTATTTCTCTAATTTGATCTTCAGGCAATGCTTGGAAATAAGATTAACATTGTTGTCAGGATCAGACCTCTAATCCCTACTGAAAATTCCAAGGGATGAGTGAAGTTGATGAATAAATTGAACCAGCTCCTTTTACAGAAGGAGTTCTATCAAGTTCAGTTTAAGTTTGATAATATTCTATCAAAATAACCAAGGACAGAAGTCACTGTTCAACTCTGTGAGCTGTAAGCTCTTCCTAATCCTTATAGATATTGTCACTTACTTCATGGTTGGTCTAAACGGGACTATTTTTGCATAGTAAGTTTCTAAAATAATTTAATAAAGTGGGCAAACAGGTGCAGGAAAGACATACTCCGTTATCGGAGAAGACTGCAATTTGAAAGTATAATTCGTCCTAAATTTTATAGGACTCTAATAAAGGAGTTTTGCCTAGAGCCATCCATCAGATATTTCAGTCAAAATAAAGAGAAATCATTCAGGTAGATGGCTAGATTACCCCTTTAGGCTCCATGTTTCATTCTACGAGATTTATTGAGAGAAGGTAATAGTCTAGAAATAATCCATAGATCTATGACCTTTTTGATTTTGAAGACAGGAAGGAGAAATCCACCAAAGATAAATATAAGCTTAAAGAACTCATACTAAAAGAAGGAAGTAACGGCTCCTTCTCAGCTGAAGGATTGAAGGTAAGTTCTGAAGCATCAGCTCTATAGAGTTATGAAATCAATACAGAAGAGGAAGCACTTTTGTTGTATGAAAAAGGACTTGCTAATAGAGCGACGAAAGCTTCTCTGATGAATAAATAAAAGTTCCAGATCTCATGCAATTTTCGAAATTTACCTTGAAAAAGAGTCTAAAGGAGACAAGAAGCATATTGTGCGCAGCAAACTTAGAATAGTTGATTTAGCTGGATCTGAAAAATGATCCCTCAGAAATATATACTCGTTGAAGAATAGGGATAAATATATCAAAGAACTCACAGCAATTAATGGCTCTCTATCCTCATTAGGTCAATGTATCAGTGCTTTAGCAGATCCAAAAAGGAAGCATGTCCCATTTAGGAACTCAAAACTTACTAAAATTCTGAAAGACTCTTTGGAAATCAGTGCTAAAATAGCGTTGATAATCTGTATATCCCCCTCTTTGGACAGCTATGATGAAACTGTATCGACTCTACAGTTTGCTGATCGAGCTAAGAAGGCAATTCTGTTAGCCCAAGATGATAATAGGAAAGCCAAAGGTATGTAAAAACTTATAACTCCTCATAGGAAAAACAAGAGGTTTTTCGACATACCGTGAAACTACAGCTCCAATTTATGGTACTCCTTCCCTTACCAAATAGACAACAAAGAAGCAAATAAGAAGATTAAAGAGCTCATGGAGGAAAATAAGGAGCTTAAAAATCAAATTATGCTATTCAAAAACTCCTCATATTCTAAATTCATGACACCACAAAAATCAACTGAAACATTTTCATCCAAGATCACCGAGTTTGAGTCATTTCCAATCAGAAAACTCAAGTATAAAAAGAAGTCCAGACGAAAGAAGGGGGATTACCTGAACCCTTCTATCCTAAAGAAGGTAACCAAATTAGTTAACCATAGACATCTGTTAATGGGAGCAGCAAGTCTAGGAACTACATCACAGGATTTAAGACCGCTCAGACCCTAGAGTCATGCTCCAGTCTCAAGACGCTCAGGAGTTCATTCAGTGTAAAAAGCCGTAAATCTAGTAAGGTAAGACAACTTTCCTCCTTAATGTTGATTTATTGACTTTCTAGAAACGCAAAGTGAGAAAGAAGTTGAAATAAAAGGACGAAACATGTCACGTTCAATAACAAAATTCTTAACGAAAGTAGCCTAGATGAGAACCTCAAAGAGAGAATTGATCATAACCAGAAGTACAATGACGATACAGTCTTTAACAACTTCAGCATCTACAGAGATCTAACCAAGCCAGACGATTCTGAGAGGGAAGAAAGCAAAAATGAGGAATTCTACACTAAAGAAGAAGTTTCTGGTAATAAAAGAGTTGAAGATCACTTTGAAAAGTCCAAACCCCAAAATCATGAAGATAATCATATCCGGCTGACCGATGCTGACGAAAAAGAGCTTCTTAAAATTCAAGACTTTGCAGAACTTACCCTTCAAGGTAATCTTGAGCAATCTGAAGAAACCAAGGTTGATCCTGAAGAGAGGATGGAGCCAGAACAGAAGAGCATTGATCATGAAAACCAAGGATTCATCAGTGACCTCAAAGCAGAGCGGCCTGTAAGAAAATTGGTATAATTATTTAGGAAAATTCTCAGAAAAAGGCTATTATCAACACTCAAAAGTCAGATGACCAGAGTCTATTCCAGCCTTCTATCTCCCACATAACAGATATCTCAGACTCTAAAAATCTTGTTGAGAGTTTCAACAATCTTGAAATTTTTGAACCGAGCAGTTCAAGGGAGAAAATAGCAAGCCAATTCTCTCAAAAGCCAACTATCTCTCCAAAGCAGCCTGCTGAGAATGACAAGAATACAAACCTTGATGATTACAACTTGGTTAACATAAAATCAGGAAGTTTGGATGAAAACTTCCCTCTCAGTGAGGGATCTGATAAGCTGCCTGCTCAAAACAGCAATGAGGTTAACCAAAGAGATGACGATGAATCTATTCCAGAGAACTCTCTCTCCAGGGAAATCTCTGAAGAAGAAAAGTCCATGCCTAAGAAAAACCTATTTATTAAGATCGAAGATGATAGTGACGAGTCTGAAGAACATTTTGTGAATGACGGTCGACAGAGTCCTCAAAACCCTACGGCTGATGAGGAACTCCTCGAGGATTTCCCAGATAGTATTGATGAGACACCCCAACCTAAGCCAAAGAATCGGTTTGAAAGTATAGGCCAAGAAATCTCCAAGCTTAATAAACTAAAGGACTCTGATATCAGGCTTGACTCTCCAAAGGAAGAAAGTATTTTCCAGAAGTTTCTTAAAGGAAGAGATCTTGAAAATGAGTGGACATTTCCGACTAAAAACTCTGGCGAGACTAACCAAATGAACATTGTTGAGAATAGTGACACTGATGATGATATCTATCAGACCTCTCCAAGAGAAAGTGATGGAAGTCAATACTTCCGAGATGCTGCTATCCCTATAAATAATCATGAATCAAAGCCTGATTATGATGAATCCCAGAGTGATGGTCTTGACAGTTTTCGGAACGAACACAATAGAATAGTAAATGAAGAACTTAAAATTGGGCCAGAAAGATCTCCTAGTCCTAAGAGACGGTCAAAATCAGGCTACACTAAATCCAAGGATACAAAAATAGACTCTGACATAAAGAACAAGCTATCCATTTCAATAGAATCTGAAAACAAGAGTCTTAGTATCTCAATGGAAAATGGAAGTGATAGAGGTCCTGACCAGATCGAGTACCAAAAATAGCAATACAGAAAGCCTATTCCAAAAGACAGATTCATTAAAAAACTCACTGAAGGATTCTAAAGGACTTCTTCGAGGTACCCTTCATAATCCTAACCTATAGACTTAGAGCCAGGATCTGTCTTTGGCATAAGTGAGGATAACCTCACTTATTCATTAACAAACACATTGTCCAATTCTACAGGTGAGAATCCCTCAAGAGGGTCAAAGCCTGGAGAGTAATCATGAATAGAGGCTAGCTCCGGAGCATCACCGCTTAGGCTATCCAAACCTGAGAATTTCACGATCAAAAGAGAAATATTGCTCCAACGGTTTCTAGTTCTTTCCAAATCGAAAGACCTATGAAAGCAAGTAATTTATAGTTCAATTTAATAATAAATTATCAGATGGCCTTTCATAAGAGTCTGGCTCGGTCAAGCTTAGTCGAAGATAGCATGGGAGGTTAGAAAATCTCAGTCTACCCTTTCTATAAAAGAAAAGTATGAGATCATGAATTTGGGATAGAAATGTTAGATATAATAATTATTGAGATGCTATAATCTAAATGCTTGATGGCCTCAATTCTGAATGAAAATATTGGGGTTTTGGGGTTTTGGGGTTTTGGGGTTTTGGGGTTTT